TATTGAAACATCTTCAATTTGATACTATCGTATATTATGATTTCTATAACCCATTATGAGTAAAAAGTTATAATTCCTTGAAGATTAGCACTATCTAAATTTGAAGTTAGTAAAATTTGATGCATAATATTGATTATATTCTAATTTTTTTTTTAAAAAAAGTCCAATCCACTCATTACTTACAAAAAATTTATAATGTATATGACATATTTATCAAGTAGATAACCCTATTAGTCTCAATTACACTATCATTTATCTAAGCTATGTATGAAAATATTAACTCTAGGTATTGTTAAAAAACGGCGTAGCTCATCTTGTAGGAAAGCAGGGGCGGACCGTAGTACAGACCCAGGGGGGCTACCGCCCCTCCAACAAAATTCATTTTTAGTGTATATATATAAGAAAAACAATTTTCGCCCCTCAAAAAATAATTTTCGCCCCTCAAAAAATATTTTGAACTTCCCAACATGAATTTCCCGGGTCCGCCCCTGAATATATCCGTTTGGAGCAAACAGTCATATAGTCTATTAATAAATTAACAATGCAACAATAAATAGCCTAGGTCTTAGGATAACTACATTCAACATAAATATTTAATACAGTGAAACTTATAAATTTTATAATTTTGTGATAGTATTCTTTAAAGATATCATTTTCATTATGATATACTCATATACATGTTTTTGTATATATATAATTTTTTTTCGGTCAAAATTTACAAAAGTCAAAGATGATTAACTATAGTCCTTCATTCTGTATAAAATTTATACAAGTTGTATGTATATATTCATGAGGGCCTCAATTCAAAACTCTAATCCTCTCCAAGTACTTGGATCTCCAAACATTGTACTAAAATAATGTATCCATTAAAATCTATTGCAGTTTATTACACATGACACACCAACATAAACTCCTTAATTCATAACTACTTCCTTTCATCAAAACAAATAAAAAAGGCTTAATTTTTAGGATAATTTGAATAGTTACCATATTTACCTATGAGACACAAAAATGGTACTATATAATAATAATTATTATTTTTTGCAAACGGTACTATATAATTATATTTTGGTTTCTATACGGTTTCTACAAATAAGAACAAATGCGACTTTAGCCACAATGAACCTTTTTTTTTCAAATAACTCAAGACCAACAAATACCGAGTAATAAATATGTGCAATATACTACGTAACATGTAATATCAAGCAAGCAAATACAAAATCTAGGTTATTAATAGCCACAAATTAATCATTCTGGATGAAAGTCAATGAATCATAAGTATTGGTTTGAGCAGGGGCAGACCGTAGTACATGCCCAGGCCAGGGGGGTTACCGCCCCTGCAACAAAATTTATTTTTAGTGTATGTATATATATAATAAAAATAATTTTCACCCCTCAAAAAATAATTTTCAGCCCAAAAAAATATTTTGAACCCCCCCAACATGAAATTCCTGGGTTCGCCCCTGTAGGAAAGAAGTGTCACAACAGTAAGAGCCCGGGGGAGGGGAGGGGGCATAGCTCACTTGGTAGAACATTAAAGCTGACAGATTGTGCACTTATCAAATAAGAAAAAGAACTAATTCATTTGTCCCTTAAAACTTTGTCATCTTTCCTTTTTGGGACGTCCCAAAAAGCATTGTCACTTTCCCTTTTAATCAATTTTTTGTGGTTCCTATTATTTGTCTCTCTTTTGCACAGCTCTCAACCACACAGTTTTTACTTTATTATTCTCCGTGCAGGTCAAACATGACAAAGTTTTAAGGGACGGGGTATAAATTTCTAACATAATCCCTCAGTTTAGCAGGAAGAAAGACATTGATCCAAGCGGTGACATCATCGATCCCGCAATACGTCATGCAAAGTACGCTTCTTCCCTTGAGTGTTTGTAATAGCATCGATAAACTGAATAGAGATTTCCTCTGGGGCAGTCTAGGAGAGACAAGTAAAGTTCACTTAGTGAGTTGGGATGACGTTTGTCAACCGAAAGACTGGGGAGGACTAGGTATGCGGAGAGCCAGGGATAATAATCTGGCATTGGTTGCAAAACTTGGATGGGAAGTTAATATGGACAGTCAAAAGCTTTGGGTGAAAGTTATGAAAGCCAAGTACATAAAAAACTCTTCATTTTGGGAAGTCTCAAGAAAAAATGGTTCATCTCATGTTTGGCAGGACATTCTGAAGAGTCGAGAGCTCCTAAAAAGAGGGCTTGGTTGGCAGGTAGGCACTGGAGAAAAAATCTCCTTTTGGTTTGATCACTGGGTAGGGGGGAAACCCTTATATGAAGAAATTGGATCTCCACTTCCTGCTACGGCAACGGGGGTCAAAGTGGCTGAGTTTATCACTCATAATAGAAGTTGGAATATTGATAAATTAGAAAATTTACTCTCGGAAGAAGCAGTTGACATCATCCGGGCGATCCCGTTGTCAATGGAGGAAGGGTTACAAGACCAATTCTCATGGAAGCTTTCTGATTCAGGTGAGTTTACTGTAAAATCAGCATATGAGGCAGAAATATGGAAGCAACACAATATGGATATGGGTTGGATTTGGAAAATTAAAGCGTCAGAAAGGGTTCGATGTTTTCTATGGTTAGTAGTAAAGAATAAGATCCTTACCAACTCGGAAAGAGTGAAGCGTAAACTAACGGAGGATGGGCGATGCCCTATCTGCAATATGGAAGAGGAGACAGTGGTGCATCTTTTGCGGGACTGCAGCTTCGCGGCAACTTGCTGGGGAAGCCTACCAGGAGGTTGGGTCACAACACAGGAGCAAACTTCGTGTAGTCTTGACTGGGTGAGGCAACAAAGCATAAAGGAGCAGCCTAGAGTGGAGGGGATTCCGTGTGCTACCCAGTTTGCATATATGGCCTGGAATATTTGGAAAGCGCGAAATGCATGGGTTTTTGAAAATATTTCACCGAACGCGGATCGAGTGCGTAGCCTAGCCAACTATCAAGCAGTGGATTATGCTAGTACGGGCTTGACAAGAGATCTTTGGAAAACTAAAGAAGCAAGAGTGGTGAAATGGGAGCCACCCCCAGAGGGATATCTCAAACTCAATTGTGATGGGTCGTGCAGGGCTGGAGGGGATGCCGGGGCAGGTGGGATAATAAGAGACCATAAAGGAGAATGGATTATCGGGTTTACATTAAACATCGGCAAAACTAACAGCTTTAATGCAGAGCTATGGGGACTACGACAAGGTCTTCTTGTGGCAAGAGAGACTGGGCATTGTAGAATCATAGTGGAGGTGGATTCGGAAAGTATGATTAATGTAGTAAATAAGACACATGAAGAGCGTAGAACATCTGTCGGAAACCTTACTCGGGATTGCCGGATATTACTCAAGGAGGAGAGATTTATTTGCCTTCAACATACTCTGCGTGAAGGGAATAAATGTGCAGATAAACTAGCAAACGCGAGTTATGCATCTAACAACGGTCTTACAATTCTGAACGTGGCTCCGGATTGGATCAAACAAACTCTATGGGAGGATGCAAATGGCTTAGAGAATATTAGATATTAACTATGTTTGTTTTTCTTTCCGTTGTATCAAAAAAAAATGTCGTGCCATAACTCCGACATAAAGTGCATTATATTTAATTAGATGTAAAAAATAAAGTTATCAAATCTAAAAGGAAAAAAGAAAGATAAATTTATAGCATTTTCGTAATGTTCTGTAGTAACACTGACATAAAATGCAGTAAATGACGTGCAGTAATTCCTTCATAAAGTGCAGTATTTTTAGATTTTTTATAAAGGTACTTTCTTCCTTCAATATTTCTGGTAAGGGCACTTTCAGTTCAAGAACTACTTGTAGAGTTGTAGTCCAATACGACCCGAACACTGAAATTAGCAATAAGCCCCGTTCAACGGTTCAAGCAAGGGTGAACTGCAAAAAGAATTGGGAAGAATCAAAACAAAAAAACAGAGTTTGAGAAGGTTTTCATAGTCATTCATGATAACTGATGGTTACATAATTTACATAATTACATTTGATTATATAGAAGATTAAAAACTACTAACAAATTACTAACTATCCACTAGTCTATACTCTATAACATCCGTTATAATTAGTTGATATCAATTACGTATCAAATGAGAATCTACGCCTAAAATGGGAACTACGAACTTCTTCTGTGGCTGTAGGGGTTGTAAATGAATCAAATAATTTGCGCTCGATTCGCGATTCGAATTCGTATAAGACAATTCGAATTTGGAAAATTCAAATACAAATACAAATAAGAATATTAAATTTGATTCGAGTTGTTATCAAATACAAATAAGAATATCAGTGTATTCGATTCGAATATTAATCAAATATATTCGATTAAAAATAGTGGTAATATTAGTAATAATAGTAATAACACTATAATAACTTGTAAAAGATAGCAATACCCTCAAATTATAGCCCATATATACATTTATGCATACAGATTCCAAGCTTATTTGTAATAAATCAGAATATAAATATGAATACAAATCATTTTTTTTGTTCAAATGTCTTTCAAATATATTACAAATAATTATGTATTTGATTCCAAGAATATAATTAGAGTCGTTTGACTTAATATATACAATTATCAACTCATTTCACACATTATAAGTATAATTACTAATATGTGTGTGTTAGTGTTCATTTCAAAATTAAAAGTTTGAAATAGATTTATATTTAGTAATCATAAAATTGATTCACTTTAGTATATCGTGCACAATCTAAAAATGCATTGATCCATTAAATTTGAATTCTAAAAACACATATTAAAGTCATAGCGTGCATCTAGAACATAAAAAATATGTAGTACAAAGTATAAGAAAAGTTATTTTAAAGTAATATTTGACTAATACTTAACATGTGCTCAAATCAATTCGATATTCATATATGAATATATGATTCGTTAATTATTCGTATTGTTAAACAAATACAAATACAAATCGAAATTGATATTCGTTTCATATTTGAATTCGTATTCATATTCGAAAAAATTAAACAAATACAAATACAAATACAAAATACCACTATTCGACTCGATTCAATGTAGCTGTAAATCTGTAATTGATCACAAAACTAAGGCCTTGCCACTATTCTAAAAAAAACACGCGTAAGACCTTAACAAATCATTATTGTACCACTTTTAGAAGTCAATACAATGAGTTTCCATAACATAACCACATTTACATTGGAGTAGTGAACTAGTGATAGCATAATCCTATTTCTACATTTTCATATCTATCTTTTCTAATAAGTTAGCAAAGTTCAAAAAAGTTGCGTAATAACTGTCATGCATTATCGGGCCTTGGCTGCTAACTCATATGGTTTGTGCTAAAAAAAAATGTCATTACAAAAAAAACTGTTTGCAAGCCACAATATCACCACTGATCCCAATGATTGATGAAGTCGTTCCACATCTCACCTGCAATTATTTCTCGCAAGTCATATCCCATCTGTTCCTGATCATGTGCCATATCGAGTAGTGGATCAAATGGGTCATCTACATCAGAATAATCTTCAACTGCATTTCCTTCAACCTCATCAAACAACCAATCATTGTTTCTTTCTTCACGACGAATGAAATTATGAAGAACGCATGCTGCTATGACGATATCCCTTTGCGTGTGAAAAGCATATTGAGTAGCAATTGTGAGGATGGGGAATCTTGTTCTCAAGACATGAAATGACTTCTGAATAGCATTTCCTAATGCTGCATGCCGGTTATTGAATAACTCTCTTGCATCCCTTGGCAATTGATTAGCACCCCTAAATTCATGGAGGCGGCAGCGAACTCCGTCAAATGGTGCAACAAAGCACTCAGAATTAAAATAACCCGCATCAACAAGATAGTATTTTCCTGATAAAATGGAAAAATGATTATCTACGGAAATATAATGCAAACACCAAAAACATACGCTTATACGCATTGAGTTTTGTAGACAATCACCTTCAGGAATTGGAGGAAAGTTCTGATCTGGATCGTCAAGAACGGCTCTTAATACACGTGAATCAGCAGCAGAACCTTCCCATCCAGGATAGACAAATATGAATTGAAGGTCAAAAGTGCAAGCAGCCAAGACATTTTGTGATAAATACCCTTTTCTGTTACGAAAACGAGATTGATCCTTGGCTGGAACATGAGCAGGAAGGTGCAAACCATCTATTACACCAATACAATCCTGAAAATCCATTCAGCTCAAATTTTGAATTTCAAGAATTAAAAATGAAAGAAAATAAGAGGAACTCGCCAAAGACAAAAAAGAAAAGAAAATCAGAGTGCTTTACTTTAAAATATGGATAGAATCGGTTGTTTCTTAGGATCTCAGGAGGAGTATCAAGCTGTGGAGGCTGAAGGAACTCCCTTGCCAATGACTTGATAGCTTTCAATACATTATTAAAATGCCTGCTTATAGTTTCCCCTGAATGCTGGAAGCGTTCTTGAATTACTCTATTGCGTTCACTGTGGCCAACGATACTCAAAAAGATTGCCAGCTGTTCCTCTATACTGACACCAGATGTGTCGCGCAACATGCCTCTTTGTCGAAGAACATCACATAACTTTTGAAACACATGTTTATCCATCCTAAGCATATCCCTACATACATCTTCAGGTCCATTGAGCAATTCAGCCATGAATCCAGACCCTTTAGAGGACAAACCACGACAAGGCTGCTGTTTGCTTAGGCAGTTGTGGTAGTAGTATCCAGCAGCTGCCGCAACTAATGTCATCTCATCCAATTCTATATCAACATCATCCATGTCTGGACTGATTGGTTTCAGCAGGGTTCAGGTGTTAAAAAATCAGTCTAAGATAAGGAAATGAAATAATAGGGTAGGGTGGCGTGGGGACACTCCTTCAAAATAGTTAACTAACACTTTCTTTGGGATAGAATGTTAATTACTTGATGTGATAGGTATGGTCTGAAAATGCATCAGATAAGTGATAATTGAATAATTATATAACATTTATTCAAGTTTATATGGCTACAGAAGAGTGATAGGACCAATTTTATGAAAAATTAATTTGTTTCTAGAATGCAGCAGAGAATGTAAGACAATGTTTGACAGGTATCCTCATTGAAATACTGGCCCATAAAGCACATTATATTGGACGAATCTACAGAAGGGAAATCAACATACATATATGACTTTGTTTTACAACAGCACATAACACAAGATTCATTGGCACCCTCCAAGGTGGGGTCCTATGCAGCCAAACATACAGAGAAACCAGTAATGCATATACCAAATCAAAATACTAATTTTGAGCTACAAAGGGATGACACTGCTATCTATGCTAACCTTTCTTTGTGCCTAGTGAAATGAGATCACAAGATCAGTATATCCTATCAACGAATAACTTCATCCTCTTCATATATTCATCATTACAATGAATAACTTGAGTTATGATTGTCTTGGTAATATTTTTGTTTTGTGCTATTTTAGATTAAACAAAAAAGGATATTTGAAATTATTTATGGAATAATAAAAAATCTTGTTCTCATTAAGTTATATCACACGCTTCTATTTTAGTGAGAATTGCACTTTGCACCCCATGTTTTGGTTGATATTGGACTTTGCACCACAGTTTCAAAATCATTAATGTATGCACCCATTAGCCCAAGCCCAAAAATTTTGAAGGAGTGAGGTGCAAAGTCAAATGATTTTATAGTGAATTGGGGTGTTCCCTTGTTTTATTACGTGTTTAGGATTTTATAAAAATACAATAAATAACATACACAAAACATAACTACACAAAATATTTTGCTAAACTACAATTTTGCAGTTCAAACAATTTGAGCTTCAAGCACTTATATATTGCACTTAATCATTTAGAAATTGACAAAAAAAAACTTATATATTGCATTTAATCATTTATACTGTAATAAATGATATGATCAAAGTAAAGTTAAGATATATGAGCAGGAGGGAGTCCATGAAAATTCTATATACATACAAGTAAAACTTAAAAATGGCCATTCCTCCTATTAAATTTTTAATAATTTCTGGCTGCCAAGGAAAGTCAAAATTGCAACTTTAAGAAGGGAGGGTGTATATTTGTAAAAAATGAAAACATCAAGCAATGGGAAACAAAAAGATTTTTTGAGAATAAATATTTACTGCTTACTATGAAAGTACGGACACGCCAAACCTAGAGACTCAGCCTGGCGTATAGTTGACGGATTAGGAAGACCTCGCACGCGGACGGTATATGCTCTGTGGTTTTCGGAGAGGATTTTCTTCGGGCAGTAGGAGTGTAAGGGTGACGAGTTGATGGGCTTTTGGTAACGAGAGAAAGCTCCTGGTGGTAGTGAAATGCTCGAGTTTGTTTTGTTTAGGACTTCAGTAGTTCGGATGCGGAGAATGTTTCAGATCTCTCCCGGATCGGGTTCCATTTTCCCCCTTTTTATTTTGCAGTTTCTAGGGTTTTCAACTTGTTCTGTTTGACAACATTAAGGAAGTGTTTGGAACCGCTTTTGCTTAAAAAAAACACTTTTGGAGATGAAAGGAAAAGGTGATGAGTAGTAAAAGTTGATAGTGTTTGAGAAAAAAGTGATTTTGAAACGTAAAAGTTGGTAGTGTTTGATAAAATAAGTGTTTTTTGTGTAATAGAAAAAGGAAAAGCACTTTTCACACGCAAGCCAAGAAAAAATAAAAATTGGTAGTGTTTGGTAAATAAGTGTTTTGTTAAGCCAAAAGCTGAGAAGTGCTTTTTTTAAGCTGTTGCAAACACTCCCTAAATCCCGATGTGTCTCACCTTTGCAGTAGTTCGACTAGATTAGATTTAAAGTTATGTTTAACATAACGAGTTGATATAGGAGATTGATGTCTCTCAATTGTGAAGAGATAATTCCACTTTTGGTCCTACAAGTTTTGTGCAAATTCCACTTAGTCTACGCCTTTCACTTTTTTCACTTTTGGTACTTTACTGATGTTTTTTAACTGTTTTTGGTCATTTTCTTGTGATTTTAACCATCGGAAACAATGCTGGAAGGACCATATATGCAGGGATGGATTTAAGGGGGGGCGCGGGGGGGCGACCGCCCCCCTTGGACTTTCAAATTTTTCTACTATATATGTAATATTTTCAGACATTAGTTAGATATATATGTTTTCGCCCCCCTTATCTTTTAGTTTTCAAAATTAATATATAAGCTCACATAATGTGATTCTTAACTGGAGATTTAAGAGAAGTAAAATCTAAAATAATTTACATAATTTAAACAAATAAACAATAGAATAACTCATTGTTTAAGACTTGGGATACCTATTATATTAAAAATTTTAGTTTTGTAATGTTTAATTATCTTTATTAGATAATTAGTACTCGATTTTGTAAAATATCAATGATATTAAATATCAGACACAATAGTTAAACAGTTTTTAGATGATATAAAGTGAATCCAAAATATATATAAATGTTTGTTGACACTAAATTATACAATCAATTTATCTCTTACTTTGTAAAAACAATTTGTTGCATAGATAATAAACTTTAACTTATTTTAGCATTAATACAGATATAATATGCACCATGTATACAATATACATGATCGAATTAACAATGCTATGTATCATATTATTCTAAAACTAATAATCTCATACATACTATTGTAATACCAAGAAAACTCCTCGTGATCCATGAATACCCTCCTTCGTAGACAAAAATTGCAATTCAAAAATCAATTCTTTATTCTGATAAAATTCATGTAGTTAAACAAAGCAAAAATTATTTAAAAAGCATCGGTCCTTGTGTACCTTTTAAAGTCTTTATCTTAAAATAATTTGATAAAATGTTATATCCTTTCTTCTTTTCAAATAATTTTCTAGAGCACTAACAATTATTAAGTCAAAGTTATTTTTTCATTGTCTAAAATTAGAATGTAATATCATATATTTAAATGTCATCGTGTATTTACTAATTGTTTTTTTTGAACAAATATTAGTCACAGAGTCCTACACTAGCAAAAAAAAATCGCCCCGCTACACTAGCCAAATTTGTTTCGCCCTATTACACTACAGGAAAATTTTTCACCTCATACACTAACGAAAAAAATTTCACCCCCCTTGACTCGAAATCCTGGATCCGTCCCTGCATATATGGGCGAAAACCCAATAGTCATGTATCAAAAGCAGACAAAGTGAAAGATGTGGACTAAATGTAGAATTGACCTAAAAACTCGTAGGACCAAAAGTGGAATTTATCCAATTCAGAACAATTATATAAATAAAAGACTATTACTAGAAAATTATTGAATCTGAACTCCTAAGAGCATCCCCAATGCATTGCTTTCTGGTCCAAGGGAAAAATGCCAAATGTCGGCTCTCTAAATCATGTAATTCCTTACTTCCAAAAAAACATGTAATTCCTAGTGGAGTAATTGGACATTAAAATTTGAAAGATGCCTCCAATGCACAAGGTTTAACCGCCCAAGTGACGTACCTATTACAAATTTATGGAGTATTATATTATATTAAAATAAGAGTCTCCTTGCAAAAATAAGAGTAAATTTCCAGGTTTATTTTTTATTGAAATAGCTTCTCAGCTCCTCTATGGCTCTATGGCCAAGAGATAATTGTTCTGTTCATATTCCATTTGTTTACTCTGGCTGTTTCCCAACAACAATTTATATGCGTACTTGAGTTATTGCCGGAAAAGAGAGCTATGTAGGTACATACTTTGGAGAAAGAGACCACAAACGGTGTTTTTAAGTTTTCATCTATTTTTAATCATCCTTTTATTTTAATTTTGTCGCAAGTTTATCAGACTTTCTATACCCACACAGTTTACCCTCACGGTGTCTATTGGTTTTTATGCCAAGTCATAAAAGACTATCTGCGATGGAGACTGGAGAGGGAAATAGTTGTAGGAAGTCTAATTTAGTGAGTTGGCATGTTTTTTTAGACTAGACTATCCAGCATTGCGGATGCTCTAACCGGATGAAGTAGATATGTTTAGCAAATATAGATAAAAGAGTGACCCAAAAATATAAAATTAAATTAATAGACATATAATATCTTAAATGAAAATATTTATTATAATATTACGATAGTTGTATATTGTAATAGTAGTAAATAACATGATTGGAATATATATAGAGAGAAAGGGAAGTAATAAATATAATATTAGGGATGTTTATGTAATTCTGACATTATTATCCTAGTTAGGACAACATATTTCATTTTCTCACATGGTACCAAGAACACAAAGAAGTTTTTAATTTTTTTCCGGATCCTTAAAGAACCCTACTACCGGCCTCTCATCTTCCGCTATGCCGCCGCCTCTCTTCTTTGTTTCGGTGTCCATCTCGATGCTGTTATCCAGTCCAGACGGCGTCGTCTCCACCATGACGAGGCAACCGCCGGCTCTAGCGGCGCATCCCATCACGGCAGCAGCCCCCCGTCTTCACCTGTTCCATTGCATGGATCATTCTCCCTGTTCGACCAGCAGATAGTACTGGTGCCCTGGTCCGCCGCACGACCGCCACTGTTCACTCATGCATGTCCTGCAGACGACGGCCCTACCCAGCACTCCATTTTTGGCTCCACCTTTAGCGACTCTCCTGGTGTCTTGCGGCCGACCTCCAAATCCCTATCATCCGGCTCTCCATTAGCATCCCTTGTCCAGTCATTATCTCATATCTCCACCAACATTACTCAAAATGTCACCACTAGACTTACAGTTGTGGGAAATTATCTCATGTGGTGTACTCAATTTGATTTTTCCTAGTTACCCCATGACTTCTTGGTATGGCTAATGACTCCATTTAGGTATCTCCCATGTATGATGTGAATTTTAATAATAGATAAGTCACTAACACTGTGTACTATCATTGGCTTAGAGTGGATCAAACAATTTGTTCTTGATTGTTTGTCCCTCTTCCTCGTGATGTCTTAGTGGATGTTCATGATATTAAGAACTAGTTTGCTATTTGGGAGAGATGGCAAACTCACTTTATGTCTACTTTGTCTCATATTAAAAAGAAAGATAATTAGTCTGTGGAGCAATATGTGAGGGACATTAAAAATTTGGTGGATGCGTTTGCTGCTACAAATTCTCATGTTTCCAATTTTGAATTGTTACAAACCACAATTTGGGTTGGGACTGGATTATCAATCCATTGTCTCCATCAATTCACATTTTTTCTCAAAACTTCCGCTTTCATGTTCTCCAACCTCGACTACTTGAACAAAAGCAACAGATACTATATAAATGATAACTGGAGCCTCCTATTTATCATCAGGCGTTTGTTGCTACTACTACTGCCACTGGGTCCGCATGGTCAGAACAGAGGGATATTTTGCTCCACGTGGCAAAAGAGGCTGATACTAGTGCCCCACCAACATCCACATGGACACATGGCGGCACGACCTCATAAGGCGAGTTACGAGCAGCACACCGGGGGGGGGGGGGGGGGGGCAGCCCCTGGTTCGAGCACTTCTGGCCCTGTCGGTATGTCTACTTCGTCCAATTTTGATCTTAACCATTTATCTAATGTTGATACTAACTTTGGCTATGAAGGCTTTCCATTAGATGAGGCCCATGAGGGTATTCTTGGGTCTATCCCACCTCTGATTGTGTGTCAGATTTGTTTTTCATCAGTTTAAATGTTTATTAGCATCCGGATCTGCTGAAAGAACAAATGTAGTAAGACTAAAATTTTGTTTGGGTTTAAAAATCCCAAATTTGCCCCTAATTTGCATAGGGTGGATATTTAGGATAGAGGTGGTCACAGAATCGGTAAGGGAGCTACTAGAAGGCGATTCTGTTGGGTCAGTTGGGAGTTAATTCGAAGAAAGAGGGGGACAGAGATCAGGCGGGACAGTGGGATCGGACTGGGTAGTGGTTTCGATCTGGGTCGTAGGCTAGGCAGTGGGTTCAAGCTGGGAGTATGGGGCGGTCTGGACAGAGAGGTTGACTGGGTTAGCAGATTCGGGAGATGGGTGAAGGGAGGTAGGATGGTAGGAATAAACGGTTGAATATTGTGGGTCGGGTGTACGATTGTTAAACCCACCACTGTTCATATTGTTCTCACCCTTGCTATTTATTTTAGTTGGGTTGTGTGTCAGCTTGATGTCAAAAATGCTTTTGTTCATTGTCATCTTACGGAAGAGGTTTATATGCGTCAACCACGATGTTTTACTCATCCTCAATTTCCTAATCATATACGGAGTATGTCGTTTGTGAAAGGCCATCTATGGACTTAAGCCAGTCCCGCGAGCTTGGTTTCATCATTTAGTAGATTCCTTCTTATTCATAATTTTATTTGTAGTAAGTCTGGTCATTCTTTGATCATCTTTCATTAGCATAACTCTATCGTTTATTTATTATTATATGTCGATGATAATAAATTGGTCAGCGTATAGCCGTGAAACACCTTGGCGAGGTTCATTATTTTTTAGTGTTCAGTCTGTTCGTATCGCTCAGGGTATGTTTCTTTCACATCAAAAGTATGTCACTAATTTGCTTACTCGCTTTCACTTACACACTATTAAGTCTGTTTGTACTCCCTTAGTCACACATACAGTACTATAGTATCTCTCACTTATGGTGAACTGTTTGCAAATTTCACTAAATAGTAAATGTGTTACAGTGTTTAATTTTAACTAGCCGAAAACATCATCAACCAACGTTTAATTAATATTCTTCAATTGAAAATATATGCTCCCTCCTTCCCATTTATATTGTCCCGTTTTACCTTTTCGGGAAGTCTCACTTAAATTGTCTCATACCATATTTGACAAAGTTTGTGTGGCTCTAAATCATTCTTGCTTTATTCTTATTTTATCAATTAATATCAACCACACAAACTCACTTTTCTTAATAACCGTGTCACCCTCTTCCGTCCCAATATAAATGGGAGGGACGTAGTAGTACGTAACTTTGTTGCTCTTGAGAAAAGCATACCACGTTTGATTAGTGTTCTTCAGAAAAGGGTTGAAACATGTACTCCAGAAGAACTCAAAGATCACAAATCACAATACAAGGCCATTATACATGAGCAGTGTGATATTGATATAGATAGGATGTTACTAAACATTAATGAATATCAACAAAACGTTATTACTCCGATTATGAACAATAAAAGGGGTTTAAACAGCATAACCGTGTGCTGCTCTTCAGGAGCAACCGAGAATCATATCACAAGACCATTATGTATGGGAAATGTGATAATTATATGTGTGTGTCTAAACATACCTAACATACGGAAAAGTTGTTTACACGTTTCTAAACAATTTATTTGGAAATGTGATAGTAGCCACTTGATTGACTTTTGGGATGAATTTACCAGCTATCCTAGGAGGCCGAGGCTAGGAGCAAGGGGAGCTATGAAAGATGCTCCAAAATCATCAGAAATGAAAGCTTTCCGGAACAACAAATCCTAAGGGATATTACACGGATAAAACTTTCAACAGGGATATTACATGTGATACATACTATTCAACAACCTACTCCCTCGTATGAAAATTTATTTTGCCCGTGCGTCACACGATTATAATACTAGTACATACGAAGTCAAAAGAATGATACTCCCTCCGTCCCAAAAACAACTTCTCAGTCATTATTCATTGGTCAACTTGAATCACTCGTAATCTTTTACTTTTTATATGAAATTTTTATCAAATTTAAATTGGGGTATTTACCTAAATAGGACCAAATAAATCTTTAATTGTCAAAATAGGACTAAAGTTTAAACATTTCCTAAATAGGAGTTATAATCTATAATTGGACAAAAACACCCTTGATGCTTGAAAGTGATACTGTTGTGACCAGAACACACGAGCACCGCCTTTCGCCGCCAATCACCGCCGGTCGCCGCCACTCACCGCCGGTCGCCGCCAGTTTCCGGACATCACTGTCGCCTCCAAAATTAGCCGTCATTGTAGATCTTGATGCCGATGATGCAGATCTGGCTAGAGTCGGACGGATCTAGCCTCCGCCAGCCGTCGATCGTTGTCCCTGTAGATCTAGGCACCTTCGCACCATATCCGGCCTCTATTGCTGCAAATATGACCCCCTCGGTTCCAGATCTGGCCGTTGCCAGTGTGAATGCCAATGTTTTTATCAGACTGTCATATTAATGGCATTTGCAAAGGAAAATGCAATTTTTTTGAGGACAAAGAATGCCATTTCGATGGCATTTTTCAAGTTTAACTTGGCATTCTGTAACAATCAAAGAAGAAACAGAGCATGGGGAGGAAGAATATCATCTCCGACAGCGACGACGGTGGATTTCGCGATGGCGGCGGCGGCGGTCTTCGCAACATCGGCTGCGATGGGGAAAGGAGAGAAGATGGGCAGGTGAGGGCGGAGGTGGACTGCACTACTGCTAGATTCGTTGTTCATGGTGAAGGGGATTAGGGGGAGGAGAGAAGATTGGGGAAGATGGGTGGATGGTGTGCGCAGGGAGGAGGTTGGAACGATGGTGTGCGCATGGGAATTAGAAGAAGTAAATAGGGGTAAATAGGTAATCTAGTCCTATTTGGGGAATAAAAATATAAAGAGTCCTATTTAGGAATTTGAGGAATAATTTAGTCCTGTTTGAGGTAAAAAAGTCATTTAAATTTTATTGATCAGGCTTTGTAGCGGTTTTAATGTAGTTTCTGAATATGTAAATTTTATTTACTAAAAATAATCCGAGTGTGAGCAGGGATCAAGTTGCTTTATCGTCAGTCAAGCATCGTAAACCGAACGGGAAGTTAATTTTGGGACGGAGGTAGTATAAATTAAAATCACTAGTACACCAAACATGGAAATACTTCACGGTACAAAGTACATGTACAATGACATATTTGCAAATACGTTTCAATAAGTTTTAGTCCCAACAAATATGACAAACTATGTGCTTCGTTTTAAATACCAGTAAATTTTTTTTTTGTTTTTTCATCACAGTAATATGACTATTTTTAGTTCATCTTTAACACCGAAGCCACTCTATTTAGTAAAAAAAATAATATCAGTTGCATAATATTACTAGAAACTTGTAATTAAATTTAACTTTTTATAAAATTTTCAAACTAATATGAAAACTAAAACAATGTAAAACTAATTATTAGCATTTTTAAAACATGTATTAACAACTTTGTAAAAATAAATTAAAGACTTTTTTAATAACATGATAAGGAATGAGAGAAATCCTATTATTTGAGATTGCTTCATTGTCAAACGGAGGTTGTTATTAATGGCGATGGACTGAAATAAAAACCAATATAAACAACAAGAATAATAAATAAAAAATAATTTTACACGTAAAACAAATTACAGATAAAAACATATTCAAAGATCAAACCCTTGCAAACATGGAGTATAATAAAAAGTAGAGATTGATTTTCTAAAAAAGAGTCACTACGTATTAGACATTGTTTTATTAGGCAATAAGGTTTGAATGTTATTGTATTAGACATTCTTTCAAGTATCAATAAATAAAACAACCTAACTTAACAAGTAATAGTATACAATGTTTATTGAATGCCAGTGAGCCAGTCGACACATTTATGCGGCAATTTTTTCAACTTGAGTATTTTATTTGATGACTTTGAAATAATAAAATGATTTATTTAACTAACTCCCCTCTTTCATTAAGATATGATGATGCAATACCCGTTGAGATGATTTAATCAAGCTAAAATGGAACAAAATCTCATGAGCTAATCAGAGCAAAAATCAGATCAGATTCATGAACTTGTGTTGGTATTGTATTATCTACGTGACCTGGCACGAAGCCAGGAAGACAATGATCGATTTACATAAGCTACCTAAGAGTTTTTATTTTCTTATTCTCCTTTGCCTTGGCTGATCTCTGCGTGCAGGATTATTATTATTATTCCGCAATGTTCCAACTTCCAAGCAACTGCAAGAGCTTATCAGCCTCACTAGTCCATGAGAACTGCATACAAAATGATCGGACTTCATTCAAGAGTTCTCTACCTGCAAAAGTAATTAAACATCACGGCATTTATTTACTTTAAAGCCCAAAACTGCATTTCATAAACCATGACTGCAATATCTCTACTATTTAACCACACATATGTTACTCGAGTTGGTATAACATTCCTATATCTAATAGAGTATGTCAGTATATGAGTATGAAAATTCTTTAATAGAAGAAAAATAAGAAACCTCGATGAGTATTCTTTTGAACAAAGAAGGAAAATATTTGTGACTATTTCAACCAGAGGGTAAAAGAAGAAGGAAAATAAACAAGTTAGTTCAATCATGTGTAAAACTGACTATGAGCACAGTACTTCCCAACAATAGAATTGTCCTTCTGGATCAAGTTCTGAATGAAGACACAGACAAGCCTTGCTCGTCTCTCCTGACTGAACTCGTCGTCCTGAACAATTGAAATATAGCAAAAGTCCTCACGCCAATTATGCATACATCGTAACTAATGAGAAGATGAGATGAGATGAGATGAGATGAGCAGAAAGTGACCTTGATGTTCTTACACGATGAGATACTCTTAGTGATGCACGAACGTATGAATTCAGTGGGCAGTTTGACATTGTCCGCTTGTGTGAGATTGTAAACTACTGCCATCGAGTGTGGACTCATTTCGTTGTCAACAAGAGCAGTAAAGTAGCTGCAACAAACATACGGAATTCCAAACACACAAATATATATTGTATTACATGATGATAGTACTTGAATGATTGCGTAAGACATTAAACGAATCCAATTATGATCTTTTAAGCTACAGGTTAATCCGAAATCGTTCATTTAACTAATCAATGAAAAGGTAAAGGGCATACTTGGCAATCACAGGGGAATTCACCAACTTTACAAGAGCTTTAACTGCAATCAAAGGATTTTTCTCTACAAGCTCCTGAAATGCAGGGTCGTTATCTTTGAAATCTCATTCACTCTAGACATTATGGTGCATTAAAAAACGGAAATTTTCTGACAATTTACAATCTTTTTGAACAGAAAAAGGAAAAAATGAAAGGGAAAACGTAGAAAGTTTTCTAGTCTTTCTCAAAAGTGGGAACAGACCCTGTGCAGCAGTATTTTCTAATTTTCTTTCTTTAAAATTTCGTCAGATCATTTTCTTTTCCTGAACGGAAAACACAGGCCAACATCACATTTTTAACTATTCACCATGCAACAAGCTCCTCTCACACTTCCCTCCTCAGACCATTTACTTACCACCAATGTTATTGGTGTCAGACCACAATGATACACAAGCATTGGGTTCTTCTCCAAGTCCATCAGAATTTGCTGCGTTAAGTTCAGACAACATATCACATGATGATAAGGAAATGAAAAACACAAATAGCAATGTAATAAATTGGAAAGAATAATCTGCTTAGAAAACAATCTGGAATAATTAAGGGTCCATTTGGAAACCACGAAGTACTAGGGGAAAATATAGGGAGGAAAACCAGGAGGGGGGAGTAAAATAGGCTTACACTCAATGAACTCATTTTATTAATGTATTTCTATTACAAGAGAATCATTTTCATTTACCCCAGTGCTGCAAAGGCTCCCACCTACGGTGGGGTAAGGGGGGTCGGATGCACGCAGTCTTACCCTTGTACTAAAGCACAGAGAGACTGTTTCCGGATGACCCATAATGAAAATCGCGCCCAAAATTGCATGGACTGACCGTTGATTCATAACAAAAAAGCGCAGACAGTTTAGTGAGTCATTTTGCTTTATTCCATCATATTCTCAAGTAAAAAAATAGTGAATCTTTGGCTCCATTGTTATTCTATTACAAGAGAATAACAGATCTAAATAATGCTTTACAAAATTTAGGAGATACGCCACATATGACATGTCATTTTCCAAGGTAAAGCCAAAACATAAGAAAGGAAAGCTTTCCTACGCATTTTTCCCTTTAGGTAGCATTTTTCAGGAGCCAGACACACACTAAACAAAACCATGTGAATGCAGGAAATAAGGCCTTGTTGTAAATGAGAAAAATAGAAAGCAGCCTAAAAGTGTAACAGGAGTACAGGACATAAGAATATCAATGAATATGAGATGAAAAATGAGCTTTCAACCTTTTGCTCAGAAGGATTAAGCGGGCTCTTAAAAGCTTTTGCAACTAACTCCACACCACACATTCCATGATCCCAAAGAAGATGATGATCTTTATCGTCAGGATTTAACCACACTAGCTACCAAACCAAACATAAAGATGTCATTATCCATTCAAAAGTCCATTTTACCACTACATGGTCGTAAATTTATATCACTATTTCATTTAAGGAAAAATCCTTTTGTACACACACCCACCCCCTATTTTTTGTGTACAGGCAATTATTTTTAAAAAACAAAAAAATATCCTAAACTTTTTAGGGAGTTGTCTGTGTGGTGTGTAAAAAAACGGCGTGTACACACCCCCAGCGTGTACATGACGAACGGGATCTTCATTTAAAGGAATCCAACATACTCAGTGTGCGCTTACATCATTATCGAGTACTGGAAGCCTAGGAGGGAAAGGCCTTTTCCATTGAGGCTGTAACCCTTTTAGAGACATATTTGATATTAATCCAATTATCGCTTTGTCAACATTCCCGCATCCAATTTTAGGTTTCAAGTCAAACCTGAAGTTGATTAATGATAGTTAGATGAAAACAATGGCAAAATGATGACGGCATAGGTATTTACAAAGTCATACCTCCAGATTTCCCAAACTCATTACCTGTAATTTGGTCCAGAGTTTTGCTTTAAAGGGTAAAAAACTAAATCTTTGAAATGAAAAATCATTAAACATAAAAAAAGAGTCATACTCTGCTGAATCGCTATCACAGCCAGTAGGCACATCAGGGTCTGGAATTACGTTTCTCAGAGTTTTTATCAAACAGGGAGCTAAACCTTTCTGGTGAATCATTAACCTTAAGCTTTTTTCGCAAACCTTCAATTGTTGGAAAATCCTGCCAAGTTCAATGATGGGATAGATTAGGCACGTGATAGTGCTTGGTGGTTGATAATATAATAGGTAATGAATAATTCAATCCAGTGATATAAATCTACTTCATATAGAATGAAAAACATGAATTTAGCATTGTTATTACTCACATATTTTGAAGGATCGCAACTTCTCATAAATTCTTGAAAAGACTTCTTTAAAACCTGCAGGCATGAGAATGGCAATTTGAAACCTGCAGGCAGGTATGAAGGCTGCAACAAGAATGAATAATACGTTTGACTTACATATGTTGTTAAAGATGATGTAGCAGCTTGCAGGTATGATTGCTGCAAAAAAGAATTAATATGATTACTTTCTTGAAATGTGACCAGGTGCAAGAACATTTACAATATAATAGAATCATCGCAAGTTCACCAAATATCACCCATGAAAACTTTCTTCTTTTTTAGAAACAGAAGTAATCATTAAAGTTGACTAGTTGAGTCAATGAATAATGAAAAATAAAAAGAAAGGCGCAACCTCCTTTATAGTTGCGCATCCCAGCAAATGAAGAATAAAAGCCCTTTCACATTTATCAGCCTCCTCATCACAAGCGGCCTGCAAATGCAAATGAAACACATGGTAACGAAGAGTTAATGTAAAACACTGCAATGCATTGGTGAGATGCGTTAGATGAAGGGTTGTTCTAGTTCGTTATAATTTAATATCAACTGAAATTTTGGATAACAACTCAAAATAGAGATATTAACTCAAAAAGCTAAACATCAACTGAAAGTGGATAATAAAGTTTGAGAGTAGAAGAGCCTCAAACATCTGGATAACTACAAACCATGTTTTCCGCTGCACATCAAGTGCTCTTTCAGCACGCATAGCTAAGCGTGTATGAGTGTATCTAATTATGGCGATGAAGCTTTGATTGTCTTTTCTAGAAATGACTTTGAAAGGGGATACAATACAATATGGAACCAAGCAATCACAAAAATTATTTAATCTTTTTGAATATAAAACAATTTCAGTCGTTAAGGTTGAGCATGCTAGAAAAAATTTGTCCCTTCATGGCATGAAAATCTTTCTGTGAGTTCTACTTTACTCCCAAGATATAAAACAAAGGTCCCTCCATCATGAAATGATATTCTAGTTTTGACTTAGCAATATTACAAAAAAGTTTGTTGAAAATGAATAAGTGTGGTCGAGATTTGGGTGAAATGATTGAAATAATAACAATTACACATCTCTTTCCTTAAAAAGGGAATTGGAAGATATTTTGGATGCTAGGACGGACCAAAGAGAAAACCAAAAGATATATTCAGGATGGGAGTATATATTTTGTATATGAACATTTCATGGTGTGTGATACTGTGATTAAGCTGTCCAATGCTCAGTTACTTTTTCAAGCCTTAGATAATCCATCACTTAATTGAATTTCTGATTACTAAGTAGTAAGTACTTGTGAGCTAAATATTACGGAGTACTTTCTAGTATTTGTGATTAATGAAATTACTCCATTGCCTTTCTAAACCCTTGCCCGACTCATCACATGAAGGGTTGTTCTACTTCGTTATAATTTATTTAAGTTATTGAAGAATTATAGCTTGTCTGTTTCATGATTACTATAGCTTACTTAGTTACTTGTTAATACTTATGGTGCTTGTTTCACTGTGCTGTGAATTTCGCAGTAGTTCAGTACCGGTATAACACTATAACCAACCACAAAAGACCCATTTGGCTATCCATATTGTTGCAAGCCATTCAGTTATCCAAATTGATCGTGACAAACTGGTTATCACCCCCCACTAATGAATGTTTATCAACTCTTCCATAAACAAATATACAAAAAATGAAATATTTAATCAGGTAATCCAATGACCCAGTGATTTAAGGATCTCAATTCTACCTATTATATGTAAACAGAACAAAGCCCCTCAAAATGCGGGAGAATATCCCAAAAAATGGAAACACGCTTGAACAAAAAATAATGTAAGGAAGCTTTGAATGCATTTCCATACAAATTTCCATACAAATAAAGTGCATTTGTTAATTCAGAGTGAGCATATTGAAACAATGAAACAAAATAGCAGACAGGAAGCAATTCGAAACCAAATGCCATTAACTGTTTGGCAGCACAATTGCACTATGATGGAAAACTTACATTGATAAGAAACGGCATGAAGGGATTTGAAGAGAACTTTGGGTAAGAAAATGCTTGACGAATAATTGCAAAGGCAACTAACCGCTTGGAGGGATTAAGTACTTTGAGCTGCAAATATAGACATTAACTTATCGTAAAAAAACTTATGCTGTTTGGTGATCAAATGATCAATGCATTTAAGCAGATGTTTAAATGTTCAATGATTTGCACTAAATGGAACAAGATTCCAGGCTTGAAAACAACAAAGTAATGGTCAGTGCCTGTAGACATGATATTTGGTTTCACTTAACATTTGCAGACATGAAATAAAGCAATTTTTCTTGCACATTGTAAAAACACGTTGGTGATTGCAGAGATCCTCCACACTTTTTCGCCAGGTGTACAAAAAAACATTAATGCAATTTTGCTCGCACATTGTCAAAATGGTGACTTTGAAAAGATAATGCCACCTCAACTTTATTCAAGAACCGAAAAGAACGAAAAGGAAACAAAACAGAAACAGCATAAACAACAAGACCCCTCCCCCCTCAATCAAGAATCAGCATTAGGAATAAAAGTTTTGAATTGACAGATACCAATTTCAGAACAACCCCTTCATGTTGATTCAAGTACTGCATTAGATTACTAGAAAGCCAGTATAGTTTGAATGAAATGTTCATTTCACAATTTAATCCATGGTGACTGACGAGTTGGGGAAGACAGACACAGACAAACTTTTCAATACCACAATCGAGGAAACCCCACAAGCACGTCTACATATGTACAATATGGAGGGGATACACGGATTGGCAAAGGTTGCACACTGAGAAATGAGAGGGATAAATTAAAAAGGCTGGATTTATACCTCAAGGATTGAAGCGAGAGTATAACATGCTTTGTGATAACGAATGAGTTCGAATTCTGATCTGAACTCTTCTTCGACAATCGATTCAAACGACTTGCCTTCGACCTCTCCGAGTTTGAGAAGCTTTAGCAGGACAACCGAATCTTCTTTCTTGACCATCTCCGGTCCGTTGGGGTCTTAATTTCTCTTCAAATTATTGGAAGCGAAGCAACGCAGAAGGCGTAAGGGGTGATCTTGAAGTCTGATAGCCGAGGTTGCAAATGAGGGGCACTCCCGCGCTTGCGAGCATACCATAGCAGTCCCTCAGTCCCCAGGAAAGTCTTAATACGAAATTATTTATAAGGGTAATTCTATTCACAACCCATTTTTTACTAAACACAGCCACTTAATTAAATAATAATAAATAAAAATATCTCAATCATCTAAACTACCCTCACTCTACATAACTATCGTTAAGTGAGGGCCAGAACGTTAACCTCTCATTAATGATCGCCCAAAACGCAGAACGCGGACCTCTCACGCGGACCTCTCACGCGGACCTGCTCGTATTTCAGTTTTCTCAAGTACGTAGTTAAATTTTATAGAGTACGTGTTTATCAATTTTGCTTTAGTTCAATTTATTGAGTGGGGAAGCCGAAGGAGATTCTCTTCCCATTTTGAAGCCATTGTTTTTCTCAGTCAAGTTGAATGAGCATGTGATTTTTGGTCCATCTATAAAATCAATTTTATATTACTGCTCTGAATTACTCAGTATGATCTTCGAACTCTATTCAAAGTGCAGAGTATTTTGGAGGGCATGTGAAAGGGACAAAGCAGGGTAAGAATGATGGCCAGTGTGGCTGCTACAAGTCTGAACTGCCACCACACCCAAAAGAATGATAGCAGTTAAAGAATGGTGTAACATGTAGCAAAATAGACCTGCCCAATCTTGATAAGTGAAACTAGAATGTCCTTGTATGCCTCAACTGCTAGAGCATTTAAAGTGGACATTGGTGATCTGACTACCTAAAAGCATAGTAAAAGATGGTAAACAAAATAAATTGCTTTTAACTTCAATCATACTACCAGAAAGGGAAAAATTACATATTTCTCTTCCTGCTTGACCAAAACTTAAATAAAAAGGTCCAAGGCTTTACGAAATTCTTTCTGTCAAATACAAATCATCCCCCTGCATTAATGCCCAACATCAAAAAACGTATATAGTATAAATCCATTGCAGAGGCATAGTCGTAAACATCCAAAGAAGTAATCACAGAGAAGACTGTAAAGGGATGTCCACCAATCACATATAAACATGGACGATATGGAATTTAAAAGCAAGACATAATTAATCATCACAGAAAATCATTAGAAACCATAGTTTTGCTAAGATGCTATAGTATGCTGATAACAAAGTAGAAAGTATAAAGTGTTTCCCACATTTTAACCACTGATTATTTATGAATATATATGGAGGATGTTTCACCGGTGTCCCATAAATTCAAACATTAGAGTTGGACTTTTTGGCAATTTTTCCCATTTGCAAAAATAACTACTCGCACTTAGGGTTGTATACGAACCGAATTGAGTCGAATAGTGAGATTTTGTATTTGTATTTGTTTAATTTTTTTCGAATACGAATTCGAATTCAAATATGAAACGAATATTAATTTCGATTTGTATTTGTATTTGTTTAACAATACGAATAGTTAACGAATTATATACGAATATCGAATCGATTTGAGCATAGGTTAAATATTAGTCAAATACGGAGTATCACTTTAAAATAACTTTTCTTATACTCCGTATTGTTTATGTTGTAAATGCATGCTATGACTTAATATGTGTTCTTAGAATTTAAATTTAATGGATCAATGTACTTTTAGATGGTGCACAATATACTAAAGTGAATTAATTTTATGATTAATAAATATAAATTTATTTCAAATCTTTTGAAATAAACCCTAACACACATATTAGAAATTATACTTATAATGTGTGAAATAAGTTGACAATTGTATATATCAAAGTCAAACAACTCTAAATTTATTCTTCAAATCAAATACATAATTATTTGTATTATATTTGAAAGACATTTGAACCAAAAAATTGATTTGTATTCATATTTATATTCTGATTTATTACAAATAGGCTTCAAATCTATATGCAAAAATGTATATATGGGCTACACATTAAGAATATTGCTATCTTTGAAAAGTTATTATAGTGTTATTATTACTACTACTACTATTATTATTATTATTATTAATGTTGATATTAATATTACCACTACTATTAATCGAATATATTTGATTAATATTCAAATCGAATACACTGATATTCTTATTTGTATTTGATAACAACTCGAATCAAATTTAATATTATTATTTGTATTTGAATTTGAATTTTGCGAATTCGAATCGTCTTATATGAATTCGAATCGCGAATCGAGTACAAATTATTTGATTTGTTTACAACCCTACTCGCACTCGCACTTGAACTTCATCCATCGGTTCCACTCTTTACACTAAATGACAAATAAATTAAAGAATAAAAAAAGGGAATATGAGAATAAGCAACACTTCTCAAAACATTGCCTTGGAAGTTAGTTTTTATTTTTCTTTAAAGGGAAATAACAGTTTAGAACCATCAATTTGTGAAAAGTGCAGTTCAGAGTATTCTGGCCTTAATTCCAGAGAGCATCATGGCATGGTTTCACCACCTGTTGCATCTTTTATTGTCGGGGAACTTGCACATTGCAACCCATGACTGTATATATCAGGTGAAAGGGTTTACATATAACATTTAAATAAGCAAATTGGGAAGGCAGTTCTTATGGACTGAATTGATCCTGAAAGCATCTTAGAAGACTGGGACGAGCGAGAGTTCTATAGATGCAAATATTGCTGCTGAATTTACAAATGAGGACTATAATGTGGTTATCTGCATTAAGTGCTAAATCAGCTCTTGACTAGGAACAATACCCACAATCAGATGTAAGCAAACTTTCTGGCAATATTTTTCCATTGACAACAGAGAATCGTAGCTAAAACTATCCCTGTTTTGTTGCCCTTTATACCGGGTTCAACCATCCATATTTTTTCTTTAATCACAATTTAACATTAGGTTCATGAAGCAACTACTGGATTGGCTGATAAAGATAAACGAAGTAGGGAATTTTCTTTTATACTTCACATGAAGAGATTGACTTCAATCCATCCCTTTTTCTAAATTACTACAAACCCCTACCCATTTCAATTCAATGCCAAATCAATTCGACAACTACTTGTTCCGGTTCAAGTGGAAGAAAATATGAGACAATTTCAAAAACTACCTGTTTCAAAGAGACACAACGGCGAGCTAGGTAAATGAAGATGTACGTTCTGGAATACTTTTTCTCCTTAGTCTCCTTCTCGAGAGGGCTTCCAAGTCCAAGAACTGGTCTTCTCCTTCTCGGTGGGCGACTACACGGTGCTAGCTTCACTTCCAGATTTGATCTCTTTTCGCCTTACTGGTCGGGGATATCTATGGACTGAACTCAGTCGTCTCGCCTTATCAAGAGAGCTTCGAAATCCAAGAAGTTGTCTTCTCCTTCTAGCTGGTATCTGATTTCTCGGTTCTCTTCTTTCTGGAAAAGCTCAGACACTGGATAAATGTCTGGAGCATGTGGAATTGTGGAAATGAGTAGGCGTTTGATTGAACTCGACGGGCGTTAAGTTCTAAGGGTATAATTGTGATTAAGAAAAATAACGTCGGTTACGGATGTATACGGGTGTGTATCTAGCAAAAGTGGGGCTGTCAATAGAATTCCCCTATTTTTATAATAGGGAAAACTGTCAAATAGGTCCTCAAACTTTGATAAAAATGTCAATTAAGTTCTTTTGTAGGAGGTTCTGTCCGGCCGTCGCAATTTGGGTCAGTTCCCAGTGGAATTTTTTGATGAATTTTTTTGAGCATCTTATTCACCAAGTCTAGTTTACCTATACCGAATTTCAGCTAAACATTTAATCGGGAACACATTCAAATTGATTCTTGAAGATAACTGCGCATTTTTGCGTTCTCGAATTAATTTGAATGCGCTCCCGATTAAATTTGTAGCTGAAACTTGGTATGAGTAAACTAGACTTGATGAATAAGATGCTCAAAATATTTCATCAAAAAATTCCACCGGGAACCGCCCCAAATCGCGATGACCGGACAGAGTCTCCTATAGGACTTAATTGACCTTTTTATGAAAGTTCGAGGACCTATTTGACAGTTTTCCCTTTATAATATGAAAGTTATAAAAATATACTCTCTGTCCCTAAATTTACTTCCATTTCTCTTTTTGAGAGTCAACTTAAATCACTCTTAAACTCTTACATTTTGTATCAAAACTTTATGAAAATTGATTTTTTTTGCAGGCTTTGTAGCGGGTTTAATGTAGTTTCTGAATATATAAATTTTATTTACTAAAAATAATCCGAGTTTTCACAGGGATCATTTAACTTTATCGTCAGTCAACCTTCGTAATCCGCAATTGGAACAACATTCAGGGACGAAGGGAGTAAAATTTATAAATTATATCAAAATGTAATACTTTAAATCATTGCTCAAAGTTCGTTATCATTGACCAAGAAATGTAAATCTGGCGAACCTTTTCGGGATGGAGGTAGTACTTGATAGTAGGGGTGGGTGGGAGAAACCAAAAACCGAAAACCGAATCGAAAAAACTTGAACCGCAACCAAAACAACCGAACCGTAAGAAAATCGAAATCGAACTCAAAATGCCAAACTAAACCGTAGTTGTTTGGTTTCGTTTTCGGTTTTCACATCTCAAAACCGAACCGAACCGAATAAACCGGACTTTTTAAAAACTTGTCATTTTATTTATTAATCATTAAAAATAATATTTTTTAGTTATTAGAAAGTAAATGGTCGATACTAGATTTATTTTGATTAAGTGAAACGTTGTACATACACTGAAGTCTATTGCTATGATATTAATACGTTGATATTTTAAATCGCAATTTACCGTTTGCTTGTTATTGCATGACAATGATATTTTGTTGATATATTATATGTTATGTATGCTTATTATCACTTCCTTTTTTATATTTAACAAATATGTATCAGTATTTATTCAAAAAAAAAATGTATCAGTATAAACTATGCTTTAAACAACATATATAGCAGAAAACGTGAAATTTTAGAGCATAAATATCTTTGTCTAGAAAGAGAATTTTGAATTGTGAAATAGAGAATTTGGAATTTTTAAAAATTATTAATTTGACTTGTATGAAATGAAATAAAATATTGATTAGTTTTTTTTTGGGTAATTTTAGTAGTTATGGCTACTCCCTTCCAAAAAGGCAAAAATCACATTGCGTTCGTTTTATAAGCCTAATATAAGCCCACAAAGTAGACAAGAGTTAAGTGTCTTAATTGAAACTCCTAATATCTCATCCGCTCAAGAGGAAATAGTTTCTGATTCACTTGAAATTGAGCGGGATCCGGGAAAACGCAAAACGATTAGTGATTGGCTGTTAGAGAAAAGATGAAATTAGACGATCGTCTAATTTCATCTTTTCAACCGAAATTGAACTTTTACAAAGGCCTAGTTTACAAAGATAGGATACGTTATTTTCAAGCCACTTGGTTCAATGGATTTAATTTGTTAAAATACTCTCCAACAACACAGAAGGCATATTGTTTTCCATGCTTTCTCTTCAGTGATGTTGTGAATTCCTCTTGTGTTTCGGCTTTAGTGACTATTGGTTTTGATAGTTGGAAATGAGTTCATCAAGGTAAAGAATGTATGTTTCTTGTGCATGTTGGTTCATCCCCTTCATCACCTCATAATAAGAGTGTGACTTGTGCTGATTCCTTAATGAAATTAAGTCAACATATTGGCAAAGTCATTGCTAGGATCGGTAAAGAAGAAGTGGTGAAAAATCGTTTGCATGTAAGGACAACCATTAAAAGTATTTTATGGTTAGCTTTACAAGGTTGTGCATCAGGGGTCATGATGACTCTGAAACATCTCTCAATCGTGGAAATGTCAAAGAGCGTCGTGTTCAGTTAACGTTTTAGTTTCAAACATTGTATGTATTGTTTAAAAATATTATTATCAATTTTAAATAGATTTTAATCATTATGTTCACACTATTGTCGCTTTTATATTTTTATATATGATGTTTTTAGAATTTTAGTGTATAGTGGCTACGCCCCAAGTTGGATGTATCATTTTAGCTCATCACTCCGTAGTCCGTACTACATGCTATCATGAAATATTCCCTTAATGGTTGTTGTTCCAAAAGGTGGAACCTCCACCTCAGGAGCCCCCACCCTAACCTGACAGAATGGTGGAGGAGTAAGTCACGGTAACTTAGTCGGTCCAATAGTGGCAGACTTATACCCGTGCGCACCAGAGGGGAGATGTTTAGCCCAACACGGCCGCTGCAGGTTTCAAACCTGGGTCATTGTTCCAAATTTTCCACTACTGGAATAACTGAGCTACCCGTGCGGGTAGAAATAATCCCTTAATTAAAATCCCTAATCGAAGTGTATAATATTTTGACTTTTTGAGTAAAATTTGTTAAACTTTTACCTTTAATCGCTCAAAAATAATAAAATCTGTCCTTTAATGTGCTTTATTGTAATATGTATTATTCAAATGTCAATTTATTAAATATTTTAAAGGTATATATTTATAGATAATTACGATCAAATGTCTGCCTAGAAAAAAGCAAAGTCAAAGTGACATTTTGATTTAGAAACAGAGGGAGTATAAGACTAAAATGAAATTTATAAATGTAGACAAGGATTATAATTATAAATATATGACTAAAATGAAATTTATGAAAGTGCCGAACTAAAATATGACTTTGTATATTTTATTGACTATAGCGATAATTTTAGCCATAAATATTTTGTATTATGTTCAATTTTACATTACAGTGATCATAACACCATGTTAGTAAGCGTACCCTAATTGTCTCTGCCACCCAATGAAATTCCTCAAACTATTGGCGATTTGGACAAAATCGTGAAGATCTATAAAATCTTTTTGCGGAAAATTTGCTGTGATCGTCTCTCGCTTCTCTCTAGGGCTTCGCCAAACGGTTTGGCGACTTATAAGTCGCCCAACGGTTGGGCGACTTTGCCCTGAAATATGGTTTCAAGCGAGCAGCTACTGCCAGCCACGCACGATCGTGCCTATTTCCTTAGGCACGATCGTGCCTATTACCTAAAACACCAAATCAGCTTGTTTTTCGCTCCGGTTCAATCCAGACCGATCTGTTTGCTACAAATAAGGTCTCCTTTCTCCTTTTGAAGTGTTACAAACTAGATACAACACATGATATTCACCTACTCTCAACAACATAAAAAACACCTTATAAACAGCGCTAAAAAACTTTCAGATCATAACCGGTATAACACAGTTCAATCATCATATATGCCATAACAAATAATCATGTAATATTCATACTCGAACACATCAATACAACATAGAATACTTAACAAGAGAAAATACATCAAAACTTGTAAATTGTTCCTACAACATCTATTGCATAAGAAAAACTACACTACAAAAGACAAACTACAAGTTCCCATCATCAGCTTCGTCATGGAGATGTTGCTGCTCATGTCTACGCCTACGACGTTGTCGTGGTTGAAGAACCACTCTCTCATGTTGCGTCTGGGATGATGAAGCCGCGGCTGCACTAGACGTGGATGCCATCTCCTGAGCATGTACTTTCCCCCGTTCATGGGAAATTTCATTTTCAACCGCAATGAACGGCCGGGATGAATCATTGTCGTTGCATGTATTTTTTGAAGGATCTCGACCATGCAAGCGCCACGAGAAACCATGACAAAGCTCGTTCTGCCACCTTCATGGCATATTTGCCCACCATTCTCATAATCAAGAACAGTAGGCATCAATATACACACTTTATACACATTCACATTTTTTTGTGTAGGTTCCTCGTCAAGTCTAGTTCATCCATACCAAATTTCAGCCAAACATTCAATCGGGAAGGTCGTCAAATGATTTTTGCAAGTTAACTGATCCGGACCAGTTAACTTGCAAAAATGATTGGGAACCTACACAAAAATGATTTTGCAAGTCACACAAACTTGGTATGGACCACTTTTTTCAAGACAAATGATTTTGAATGTTTGGCTGAAACTTGATATGGATGAACTAGACTTGATGAGGAACCTACACAAAAAATTTGAACAAAAAATACCACCGACAAGGCCCCCAAATGGAGGATGCCGGACGGCGCTCCGGTCAGGAATTTCCTGACCGGAAGATTACTCTCTCTCTCTCTCTATATATATATATATATATAGGGATGATCATGTCCAGCAGCCCCCAGTCCGAACACCGTCCGAACATCGCCTTTTGGGGTACTTTCCGGTGGAATTTTTTGATGAAATTTTTTGAACATGTTCTTCATCACGTCTAGTTTATCCATACCAAATTTCAGCTGAAAATTCGATCGGGAAGGCAGTCGAATAATTTGTTGAAGTTGACTGCGTTTTTATATGTATACTTTGGCGCAATCAACTTCAACAAATTATTTGACTGCCTTCCCAATAGAATTTTGAGCTAAAATTTGGTATGAATAAATTAAACTTGATGAAGAACATGCTCAAAAAATTTCATCACAAAATTCCACTGGGAAGTGCCCTAAAAGGCGATGTT